GGGGGAGAAGGGCAAGAAGCTCAGGATGGCGGGGAGGCTGTCCATGAAGGGAGAGGGAAGGAGTCACGCAGTCCAAGAGGATCCCTGCAGCCAAGTGCAACCCCCCCCCCCTCCAAAAGTTAGAGAAGTCCCCTTGGCGAGTGGGCAGGCAGTTGCCACGAAAACCACCCAGGGAGCCTCCCCAAGCCAGTGAGGTTTGTGCACCGTGGGGGGTGGGGAGGAATGTTACTGCGAGGGGAGGAGGGGGAGATCCTGAGGTTAATAGGAAGTTTAAGGGAAGTCTTCAGTTCTGGAGCAGATCAGTGGAGTGATGGCGCCGTCTAGGTTCCATTAAACTACAGTGTCACCTAGAAGGGGGAAGAAGAGAAGACATTGGGGGGAGGGAAGCAGGTGAAAAGACTGGCCCCCAGTGGGCAAAGCCTAAATTTTTAGGGACCGACCTTTTAAGCGGACCCTCCCTGCCGTGCTCCATTGAAGCCTCTTGCTTCTGAAATGAGTGAGAACTTCTAGTCCTTGGCATTGTGCTGCATCGCAGCCTCCCAATACCCTTCTACTTGATTCAGTGTGCCCCAAAGAGAGTCCTGTTTGTAGGTTATGGAGGGTTGTCTCTTTTGTCTTCAGACCAGCCAAAATGCTGCCTCATTTGCCCGGTTTCTTAATGGAAAGCAGTCGAGTGCTGCAGATACTTGTATTTTTTTATTTTACTGGGATCCCCTCCCCCCAATACACACTACTATTCACACAAACTCCATTCTTCAGGTTCTTAGTCTCATCTGAAAACCAGCAAATACACTCCTTTCAGATGGTGAGGTGAATCCCCTCTCACTAATGGAATCTCTAATTTAGAGCCTTCATGTCACATAGTCTTTCAACCACTACACCCTCCCGAATAATACACTGCGCAGAGCTGCAATGTCTGCAAAGTACTCCAGCTTTACGTTTGTAAAGCTTAGGTGATTATTGGTAGGTTTTACCAAAAGCGAGTTTCTCACTCGAAAGGCCTAGCAGCCTGCATTTGCAAAGAAGCCATTTGTTGTTTCTTGTGACTGTCACCAAAGAGAAAAATCTACTAATTGCTTAGGTAGGTCCAAGTAGAAGCTATTTCCCACAAAAATACTTTCAGTCTTCTCCAAATCTCTCTTTAAAATAACAGTTTTAAAGAGAACAAGAGCTGATACTCTGCATTTAGAGTGTACAATTTATAATCTGTGAAGTGCAAAATCTCTTTGAGGAAACTGTATCCTGGGATTTGTTCAGCATTACGCAATTGGGGGTGGGAGATGCTTGGTCATTCAAAGGGGAGATGAGAGCGAGAGACTTTTGTCAGGAGCTCTTCATATGTATGTCTGTGAACAAACAATAGTGTCAACTAAAGAGTTTACAACTATTAAACTGGCCTCATTTATGTCAGCTATCACTTATGAAGAGAGTAAAGATGAATAAGGGTGCAGCAACTTCTCACAGATGTTCATGAGCCTGCCTGGCAGGGAGGGAGGGATATAAATCGAATTAAATAAATAAATAAATATGTATGTGATATATTTATAAAAAGACACATTCTGGAGGTAAATACAGGCATGATTCATGTCTTCTTCTTCTACTGCTATGAGAAAGGAAATCCAGATGGGGTTGTAAGTACAGAGGGGACTAATGCAGTTGCTGTATTTGTGATAGAGCTGGTAAAGAGAAGAGGAGATCATCTCCTTTGTCAACCAACACAGCTGCAAAACAAGATCAACAGTAATAAAGGGCAAGGTATAGCTGAGAAGACCTAATCCATGTCCATATTCAGAGGGCCATCCAAGCACAGCAGTGCTGTCTTTGGCTGCATGTTTTATAGATCCTCTTCATGTATCCCAAGAGGCTGGATCATGCAGAAATGCTAGTGTTCAAAATTGTGAATCTGAGCCTTGCTAACAGCTAGCCAAAGTTCTTGCTGTCTAACTAGGCATATTTTACGCTAAGATAATACTTCCAGTATTTTAATAAATGGTTGGATCTTGCTGTATATCATCCCAGATTCTTATTTTTAAAAATGAGATCTTAGTATATCCAGGTTGCTACTGCAATGGCATGTGACCACATAGGAAATAATTCCCCATCTATAGCAAAAAATAATGTGCATTTTTCATTCAAGAATATAACTCATCACAATTACTCTTAAACCTAACAGAGATGATGTAATAGAATAGTAGCTGTTCCTGGTTTTTCGTTAGGACTGAGAATTGTTTTATGTATAGAAAGTTCCTTATTTTAAAAATCAATGTTTCTGTTGTGAACAGATTAAGACCACTGGGTTTTAATGTGAATTAAGCATTAAAAAGGAGGGCCTTTGAAGCTGAATATGTACTAAACAAGAGGGGACATTTCAATTAACAATGTAACAAACGTTATATTTTTTTTAAAAAATAGAATGTGGGGAATTTGACAGTTAGATTGGCCACATGGTGGCACTGTTCACACAGTATCTAATTTTTCATGTGATATAATTCAAAAAAGAAATTACCTGCCATTTGGAAAAAAAATCTATCTGAAATCTTGAAAACATCTGGCAGAAATACTGGAAGGAGTTTGATTTTCATTGCATGGAGAATTCGACCTGCATTTTTCTTTCCTTTCCTGCAGGCCAAATGACATAGGATGAAGGCTGTTCGTAATTTGCTGATTTATATATTTTCCACCTATCTACTGGTTATGTTTGGATTTAATGCTGGCCAAGACTTCTGGTGTTCAACGCTGGTGAAGGGGGTCATTTATGGATCATATTCTGTAAGCGAAATGTTTCCCAAAAACTTTACAAACTGCACTTGGACGCTGGAAAATCCAGATCCGACCAAATATAGCATTTACCTGAAATTTTCCAAAAAGGACTTCAGCTGCTCTAACTTTTCTCTCCTGGCTTATCAGTTTGATCATTTTTCCCATGAAAAAATTAAGGATCTCTTGAAGAATAATCATTCTATAATGCAGCTCTGTGATTCCAAGAATGCTTTTGTATTTCTTCAATATGATAAGAATTTCATTCAGATACGCCGGGTCTACCCCTTTGAATTTGTAGGATTATACAAAAAGGAAGATGATCAGAAATCTTTCTTTGAATTTTTGGTATTGAACAAGGTGAGCCCAAGCCAATTTGGTTGCCATGTTTTATGCACTTGGCTGGAGAGCTGCTTGAAATCTGAGAATGGGAGAACTGAATCTTGTGGGATCATGTATACAAAATGCACCTGCCCTCAGCACTTGGGGGAATGGGGAGGAGATGACCATTCCCTGATGTTGCTCAATAATGTAGTACTGCCCCTTAATGAGCAGACGGAAGGCTGTCTCACCCAGGAGCTGCAAACCACCCAGGTCTGCAATCTTACCAGGGAAGCCAAGCGGCCACCGAAGGAAGGTAGGTACTCTTTAGTAGGTCTTAATTGTTCAAAAGCCCTATCTTGCTTTTGATTCCCCTGATCTCTGTCCCCACCCTCTCTCTCCCTCCCCCCCCCTGAAGGTCTGCAGACACTCATCCTCTGGACTTCTTCCAGAAGGAAGGATTTAATTTTTTGAAATTTAATCTGATATCAGTGCTTTGTTTCATTTTAATCTCCGTGGAAAAGTTTCCTCATATTTCACTGAGGACTTCTGTTCTTGTTCTCAGCCCTGCTTACAATAATGCTAATAGAATGGAAACCAAGTTACTATCTCTCTCTTGTTCTCACTGCAACCACCCAGATACCATATGTTTATTCACATGAAATCCTGTTGTTTTGGCTTTGCAAGGAAGATATTTCCAAAGGCATGTGGGCAACCTGAATAAAGTTCTACACATTCAAAGTGCTCAGGACACCAGAGGTTGAGGGTGAAGGGCAATCCTGATTACGTTTAAGTCAGTAGCTAAAAATATTTTGGGTTTAACAGAGTTAGCTGTTGCCACTGGCACTACTGGTCCAAGGGTGTGATTGTGAGGTATATAACCTCACTGAAGAAGGCATGATGAGATGGGTCAATGCCTGGATAGGAGAACCTGTTATTGCTGCCTTGAGTTCCATGGTGGAAGAAAGATGGGACAGGGATGTAAGCAACTAGTGTTGCCTCAAAAAATGTTTTAAAAAATAAGGTAGAGATGGGAGATGTGTTCTGTGGTATGTTGAAATAAGGAAACATCTATTATGCATCTTTGCTGATGACTTGTGAAAAGGAACATGAACCCTAAGTTGCACACGTGCACACACATGCACACACATGCACAGAGGAGAAATTCACCAAGTGTTCATCTTGTCCATAGAGAAACAGCCCCAGGAGAGCAAGTTCTCTGCCCCCAGCACACCAGCAATAAAAGTCGCATAAGAGGTGATGGTATCAAAGTGAAATAATTATGCAGGTATGGAGGTTGTATTTTCATAATGCTAGCTATTAAAAAACAGCAAAGCAACCTTTGAGCTATGTCAGGTCTTGATACTAAGTGTCAGGTATTTCTGGCTGCCACCTGTATCTATTGATCATAAAGATTCATTCATTCTCTCCTGCCTTCTCCCCCCACCTGTAGACATACAGAGAGCAAGAAGAACTGGATGTAGGAAAATTTTAGAAAAATAACCACCTGGACCTTAAAGCTACATAGGGAAGAAGGGTTGGGACATAAAAATAGAGTTGTTAAAATATAGGATTGTTATAGTTCAGAGATGCAACATGTTAAATATACTGAAGTATGAGGAAAATATGATCTGATATCTAGATGTACATTACCTAATATAGTTAAGAAAGTGTGTAAATGAGGAGGTTGGTTATTTCCTGTGAAATTATATAAATTTCATATGGAACTAGGGAGTGTATATGTGCGTTTGTATGTGAGAGAGAAAGGAAGACTGTGGAGAGAGAATCTGCACCCTATCTAAGCATAGCTCCCTGTGCTGAAGGAGGTTGCATTTTAATGCAGGAAATGTTTTCTCTCTCCCTGGTTTCTACATGGTCACAAAGCTCTCTGTCTATGGGGAGGCAGAGCCAAGCTGCTGGTCTCCCTAATAGAAGTTGCCTTTGTAAAGGAATGCAAAATTGACACGTTGTTCTGTGAGGATTTTCTTTAAGGGCAGCCAAGGCTGAGTGGTGTGGGAGAAGAATAGCTGAAGCTGCTCTAACTGTTGAGTTGCCAAAGATACTCTTAAGGGATGGGGGCAGGGAGGGAGTTTTCTCTGCCACTATATTCAGGCTAAAGGAGGCTAAAGATTAGTGATCTCTGGGGTGGGGGGGCAGGTGGAGAAGGAGATACAGGTTAAAGTAGGATGGGAACAAGACTTGTGTTGACTTTCTGTGGGTCAGTGTTTCTCCAGATATAGTCTACAGCTGGGGGATGAGGGCTGCAAAGTGATTTTAAATTACTCAAATGCTTGTTTCTTGTAAAGTCCCATAGAAGCCCTTGTAACGGCAGGGATGGTATTTAACATCATTTAAAGCTAATTAATGTCCCTTAGAATAAGAAATTTCCCCCCAAATTGTGATGCTTGAAGCTGACTATTAAGACAATTAAACTGCAGAAAGTGTCTGAGAGACATGGGAACTTATTAGCATTTGAAGGCTGTAATTGTTTTTGGGAACAGTTGTGGACATTAACCCATTCCTAATGGCAACAGGGAAAACCACATTCTTTCTTCCACCCGCTCCACTCTCCAAATATCAGTTTTTGTAGGAAAGCAGCAGCTGGCAGGCCAGTTTTCTGTTAACTCAATTGGAGGAGAATGGGTGGTTTTACAGAGAGCTTGCTAGTTATGTTTGTGATGGATGCTTTAAGATAGTCTTGGGATTGATGAAAAGTGTGATAAATGGCTGGCAAGGTTCTTTGTTGACTCATAATAAAGATTAAATGGAAGACAATGAGGAATTTCACATTACCCTTTTTAACCCGTTTTGAAGCCGTTTTTTATCCGTCATGGAGTAAACCGGTATAGGGCTGCCATTTCACACATGGCTTTCCCCTTCCGGTAAAGAGCTGGATATGAAGCGGTTTGCCATTTCAGCCTGCCCCCCTCCCCCCCCGCCATTTTTCGCCCGTGCGGGCGATCTTCGCCTTTTTTTTTTTGAATTCGCTTTATAGCGCTATAGCACTATAACAAAACACTCCAGGCATTCCAATGGGGTTGATATACTGCTGTTCCGTTATAGCGGTATAGCGCTATAAAGCAAAGTTTTTTTTAAAAAGCTGGAGATCGCCTGCGCAGGCGAAAAACGGCGGGAAAAAGCACATTGGAACCGGGAGAGGAAACTGAAGACTACTTGAAAGCGGTTGACAGGTAAAACACTTCAGCCCCATTTCCTAAACGGTACAGAAGCGTTTGTGTCTGAAATTACAAATATATTATGGTAGGGAACCGGTTCTAAAACGGTTCTGTCTGAAATGACAGACCAGAAACCGTTTGGGAACTGTTCCTCTTTCGGATTATATTGTCTGTCTGAAATTCCTCATTGTAAACACAGGTTTAATTTTTTTTCTCTTCTGGGGGAAAATAGGCGATGGTGTTAGGGAATACATGGTCTAGAGGCGGCTAATATGAGTAATAGGTTACTGTGCTATCTTCTTACATTTTATACTTCACAATTTCATCAAGTTACACTCCACAATTGAGTTCTGTGTCCCACAGAGCAGTGCATGCGCACCAATGATGTAGTCAGCTGTCATACTGGGGGATAAAGAAGATAGCTAGCAATCATTATGTTCGTGTTCCAGAAGTTACTTATGTACAATGTTGCCAACTGGACAGGGAGAGAAAGAAGTCCTTTCCCTTTAATAGAGGGTTAATGTGAAAATGGGCAGCAGAAGCTTTTCATGTCATGAAGTTAAATAATATTGTCTGATAATTGCTTGCAGATCAAAATACTAAAGGGACAACTACCGGGAACACAGTTGGCAACCCTGCATTCTGTATCTCTTCGTTAAGTATTCTAGATTAGGCTGACAGCTATCATGCTTTGGCAAATTGGGGTTTATCACTCCCACAGAGCTTTAGATGAAACAGCAATCCAGTGAATGCAGAGGCTATGCAGTATAGGCATTTGTAGTGTCATTTCCTCAGCTGCTATATTTGGGGAACAATTAAATTTGCATTGCAAAAGAGCTGTCATTCCTCTTGCTATACATGCTTCTTTCAGTACCCATCCCAGTTAAACCACAGGGTACTTAGGAAATGAAGATGTGTGTGGGTGACAATTATGTTTGCCAAATACATGTTTCTACCTATTTTTGTTTTTTGACATAGGTGGAAATTGTGACTCAGTGCTTGTGACAATGTACCTAGTAGAATGCAGAGCTAGTGAAAACTAGATTTTTTGGGTTGTTTTAAAATACAGGAGTCCCAGACTTTGAGGAGAAAATATATTTCTATTTCAAGTGTGTTTTTACTTGCACTAACTGTTTGTCATTACTAAGCAAATACTTAGGGCCCTATTGGGTTGGAAAGTTGAGATAAAAATGTTTCAAATTAATAAATATTATATCATATTCATATGAAAACAAAGCTTCCACATTCTTTTACTAGAAACCAATGTATGTAATTTCTATTTCTTTCTCTAGGGGTGTGGTGCTGTGTGTTTTTTTAATTGTGTGCTCATTAGGTATACTTGAATTTCGTCTAGGCTGTTTTTGAAAGCTGTCAGTGAAGGGGAGCTAACCACCTCTCTAGGCAGCTGATTCCACCTTTGAACCACATAGATCATAGATAGTATATGTATATCGATTATCATCAGTTACTTCTGGCTTTCTGTTTGGTACATGACACATAACACGAGTATGAAAATAATTAAAAAATCACAAAGTAACATTCGAGGAAAAGGTTTGTTTTGCGTATATGTCTGATTGTGTATTTGACATGATGAACATACAAGGCCTACTGACGGCAAAGTCATTCTCAGAACCAAGTTACTCTTTTTTTTCAGCGGTGGTGACAGTAGAATTGTTCTGGTAGTATAGACTGCAAAGGCTACCCTCCCTCCAAAAAACGCCTGAAGTTGGTCTGTTTGATACACTTCAGATGTAGTATTTTAGGACAAAAAAGTCTTATAATCAATATACCTAGTAGTCAATGTGGCCCCATCTGTGGATTCTTCAATCAGGGCCATGGAGGCAGAAAACTTGGGGGGACTCCCCCTTCTGAAGTTTGCAGAAAAATCTGAAAACTTTTTGAAAAATAGAAGAGGGTTTAATCTCACCCAGTAGGGGATCCTGACTGCACTCCATTTCAGATGGGCAAGTGAGCAAGCCATGGGGGACAGCAGTGTAAGAACACAGGGGAGGAAGGCGCCTCTGCTGCTGACCCCCAATGCCACTGTGTGAAGCCATCGTCCATAAAGGGGCATGCCCTTTTTTTACTAATGGATGTTAAAGAGATATCTGCCATTAGAGGAGGCACTATAATGTATACA